TGTTACAATTGAAAGTTTTTAAGAAAACAGAGAAGAAACTGAATACTTCTTCGTCGTTTTATTCATTAATCAAATAGGTCATTATATAGACCTTTACAAAAACTACAATTTTGAATGACCTATAAAACCGGATCAAAACACGAAACAAATTCTAAACAACTTTGACTCCTACAACTCTGCAAGAGGACTTATTCAACTTGAACAAATCAAACTTAAGTTAAACGACATAGTTTTATTCTTCATGACATCAACGGTTTAAACTATATAGGTAGACTAAATCAATCTTCCTACAACTAATAAATATTAAAACCACATGAGATGACAAAGAAAAAAAGTTAAAACCACATGAAACTTAGATGGTAATACGGTAACGACGCTCTTTATAGAAAAAATGGTGGTAACAATGCCAATACAAATTATTAGGCGAAAAAAGCTTCGGAATTTGGCTATAATTCGTTTTGTTGGGGTGTGCTTCGGCCACATTTTAAATAGTATTGATTTTCAAACGGATTAGATGATAATTTCTTTAGACAATACTACATAACTAGCATTGTTTAATAAGATAGGATAGGAGTAAGACGTTGAAGGACCACATCGAATGTCCAAAAGAGAGAGCCGGACATAATTAAAGTATCCCATGGACACGGGAACATGGTTTGTGTCTCCGAACCATTTCTTGCTCTCCTTATTTATTGCTTTTTCTAAACATTTTTATTGTTATAACTATTTTTCATTTATTGTGTCTTTTAATGTGTGCCATGTAAATTGAATTTGCGTCCAGATTCAAGTGCAAGAAAGAAATAATTTGTTATATCATATGTTTGGTATGACGATACCATGATGCTGATAATTCTTCAATATTCTGGTTCTTGAATGAGTTTCATATATATTCGTTGAAATCATTTTAAAGAAATTTTAAAATAATTATGTTGAGTATGTGGAGTGAGTCAGCATAAGTCGGAAGAATTTTGTCTTCTTTCTAATGAATAATTTAGCGGTGATGTGCATATTAAACTAACTAAATGTCATGTTTTATTTATTTATTTATCATATACTACTAGTTTATAGTCTTAATAATATACATAGCAGATGACAAGGCTTACGCACTAATTGATCGTGAGATTGCTTATTGTTGACAAAAATAAGAGTTTAAGTAAATTAGAATTTTCATACGTAATGAAGTCCCACAAATGGTGATCTTTGAGTATGAATTGCATTATACAATTTAGAAATTACTCGAAGCTTACGCTATTCAGCGACCCATACATGAGAAAAAGAATTATAACAACTGTGTACAAAAGAATACGTATAATGAAGTTTCAGCAAAATTTGTTCTTAATTTATACACTCAAATGTTATGAGACATAGGTAAGTAGTTCAATCGGTTAAGATTTTTTTTTTGTTTTAATATTATCATATTCTCCGACGGTTTAGTCATTGATCAGACTTCAGACCCAATCAATCACAAACCAGTACACAGCTGCTTCACGCTTCCAAACACGTTTTAAATAGTATATTTTAGTACGTTTGAAACAAGTTTTTGTAGTACGTTTTGTCCTATAGTACTACTATCAAAC